TTGGTAGATCTTGCTTGGTAGATCTTGGCTGGTAGATCTTTGTTGGTAGATCTTGGCTGGTAGATCTTGGTTGGTAGATCTTTGTTGGTAGATCTTTGTTGATAGATCTTTGTTGGTAGATCTTTGTTGGTAGATCTTGGCTGGTTGGTAGATCTTTGTTGGTAGATCTTTGTTGGTAGATCTTTGTTGGTAGATCTTGGTTGGTAGATCTTTGTTGGTAGATCTTGGTTGGTAGATCTTTGTTGATAGATCTTTGTGCCCCTGCTCTTGAGGGTGGACTGTGAACGTTTCCTGACTGAATACTCTAAAACATGTTTTCAAACTTCACTAGCCTAACACAACTTTTGTACACATTGTATTCTTACATTTTTCCATATGTAAACATTGTATCATTACATTCTTTAATGTACACATTGTGTTCTTACATGTAGCCTACTACTGCCAAAACCCTACTACTACTTTCCTCTGAAATTTGATCTATTTCATTTTCTTATAATGTTATTACTTTTTCACTCCATAACTGTTGCTTTGAATTCCCTGGTTGAAGGAAAATTAATGTGATTGTTTATGCTATTGCTAAGCCTTATGTTTTGTTTAATAAAACCCTTGGCTACCAGTTGTGAATAAATCATTCCATAAGAGCAGAATCTCTATGTATTTATTTAATTAGCCATTATAGTTTACTATTGTCTTTTTTTTTTTTTTTTTTTTTGCATATTTTTTGCTAGTTTTGCATTTTATTTTGTTCTTTTTAATAAATAAAAATGCAAATTAAAACTTTTTTTTTTAATTTTATCATAGCTTTTTATATTTGGTTCAATGGAAATTTAAAAAATTGATCAAACCAAAATCTTGTGGTCACACAACACGTGTGTATGCTCACCTGCAATAGGGCTGCTAGGTCACCTGGTTGGGTACAGTCTATGACTCAGAGACGTAGCGACCCCTCTCGGCGCCCGGGTACAAACTTTCAATTTGGCGTCGTCGTAGTCCCTCTTCCCCCCCCCCCCCCCCATATATTTTATTATTTTTATAATTCAAAACTGCAGCTAAAATGAGCTTTTAATTGTTTTTTTTCAAACCCATTTTGCCCCGGGACATATGTGCCCTCCCACCCCCGCCCCTGCTATGACTGTAGCCAAGACGCGGATCTCCTAGTGCGATCTTTGAAGAAAACAAATTCAAGGTCACTCATGATCACATGAACCCCCCCCCCCCCCCCCGAAAAAAATTTACCGCCCCCCCCCCCCCCGAACGAAATGAAATGTATATAATTTATATAGAAAATATATACTTTTAACAGTGTCCGCCTCCGAAAATTTTAAGTGCCCCCCCCCCCCCCGGAGAAAAAAGTCTGGAAGAAACACTGTGTACGTTAATCACTCTCTGTGTGCTGGGAATTGATGCTACTTTACCGCATGGGCTCTGGGTTGCAATCCCTGATTCAATTTAGTCAACAACGTATCCATACTGTATGGCAGTCTTTTAAACGAACGTAGGCGCCATAGTTGTCACGTGTGAGCCCGGGGTAACAAAACACACCTTGCCGATGCGCCCACATGCAGGAGTATTCCCACGAGTATTCTCAACTGATTCTTTAAGTTTCTTGGCGATTGGATGAAAGGACAACAGGCATAGATGTTAGCCTGAAGATCTTGAGATGTGATCTGAGTTTGGACTTGTTGCTGTAGAAGGTCCTTGGGTCCACCCAGCTCTGATGGGTACCTGAATTATGTTAGGAAACGTTAAGGTGCCTGGGATTAGCGTTGACCACAATCTCCCTACATTTACAGAGGTCAAGATAGTAACAAACTCTACTTCACCTGCTTAGGGTCGGAGTGGTCGGGCGGAGAAGCGCGGAACTCGTTATCTGGGACAGCAATCCATCTAGGCTAGAACGGACAGCAATCCATCTAGGATAGAACGGACAGCAATCCATCTAGGATAGAACTCGTTACCTGGGACAGCAATCCATCTAGGCTAGAATGGACAGCAATCCATCTAGGATAGAACGGACAGCAATCCATCTAGGATAGAACTCGTTATCTGGGACAGCAATCCATCTAGGCTAGAACGGACAGCAATCCATCTAGGATAGAACGGACAGCAATCCATCTAGGACAAAACTCGTTATCTGGGACAGCAATCCATCTAGACTAGAACGGACATCAATCCATCTAGGATAGAACTCGTTATCTGGGACAGCAATCCATCTAGGCTAGAACGGACAGCAATCCATCTAGGATAGAACGGACAGCAATCCATCTAGGATAAAACTCGTTATCTGGGACAGCAATCCATCTAGACTAGAACGGACATCAATCCATCTAGGATAGAACTCGTTAGCTGGGACAGCAATCCATCTGAGATAGAACGGACAGCAATCCATCTAGGATAGAACTCGTTAGCTATGTTATTTTCAGTTTTTAGTTTTATAAATTGTATAAAATTAATTGAAAAATAATTACTTTATTACGCTACCTCCCTTGTACATAGTCCGAATGACGTTGTCTTTGTTTACTTTTTACTTTCTCGTATATACGAAGTATAGAGAAAGTCTTGTAATCGTGCAAAAAAAAAATCGAGATTTTTACAAATCTCGACGTTTTACACCTCCCTGGTCGGAAAAACATATTTTTGCAATCTTGTCCGTATGTCTGTGTGTGTGTGTGTGTCTGTAAACACGATAACTTGAGTACCGTTACAGCTAGGTTAATGAAATTTCATATAGATCTATAAGTATTTTATCAAAATCGTAGATCCGTATCAACTTTTGAGCGATTTCCGATTACCGGAAGTGGTCCTTTTTTTTACTTTGAGTTTTTCAAAAGCCTATAACTTGAGTACTATTTCATATAGATAAATAAAATTTCACATGTTAAGTAAAAGATCTAATTATCTACCTTTTTATAAAATTTTGAGTAATTTCCGTTGACCGGAAGTACTAATTTACGATATTTCCGATTTCTCAAAAAACGCATGTAAACTTATAAAGTACTAATAATATTGCGCACTATTTTGCACATTTTGTTTTGGCGTTTGCTTGGTGCGCAATTCTTTTTTCTACGAGGTTATATTCTATTTAAATAAGAATTAAGAGTTAAATAAGAATATTCGAGAAAGTTTAGGGGAGATCACTCCCGGTTTATATGTTTTTGTTTTTCGGTGTTATTAAAACAGATGGTGAAATTAGACATGCTGGAAAGGCTCTCACTCTCAATCATTTAAGTTAATTTTTTTTATTACTACTCAGAGGCGTAGCGACCCTTCCCGGCGCCCGGGGACAAACTTTCAATTTGCACCCCCCCCTCGAGATTTTTATTTGCACCCCCCCCCTCAAACTTTCAATTTGCACCCCCCTCAACCTTTCAATTTATTTTTCCAACCCATTTTGGCGCCCCCTAAGCTCGGCGCCCGGGGACATATGTCCCGCCCCCCCCCCTCGCTACGCTACTGTTACTACTACATTGATTATTATATGTTAAGGTTTATAAGTAAAATGTTAAGATTATTTATATTATTTTCTAATTAGTCTATGATCTCTCGAAATCACTAGTTTTTGTTTTTCGGTGTTAACAGATGGTGAAATTTTAGAATTATAATATAGAGAATGCTGGAAAGGCTCTCTCTGGGCGGGGACGCCTGGGAAAGCGTGTTTTTCGGTGGTGATTTGTTTTGTGTTGTTGTTTTTTTTTTTTTTGTGTTTGTGTTTTTTTTGTGTTGTGTTTCTGTTGTGTTTCTGTTGTGTTAGTGTTTTCTTTTGTTCTGTTCTTAAGTTGGTACATTTAAAAAAGATTCACCGTGGCGGAGCACGGGTATACTGCTAGTATATATATATATATATATATATATATATATATATATATATATATATATATATATATATATATATATATATATATATATATATATATATATATATAGGGGGGGGGGCCTAAAAAAATTTTTTGCAGGGTGGCCCTTTTTTTCTAGTTCCGCCACTGGGTGGAGTATTGGGGTGGGTGGCAGTTGGTGGGGGTGATGTAAAGGATAACTGCGTATTGAAATCTATGCCAAGAAAAAAATCTCAAAGTTCGAGTACTACGTTACTGGGACTCAAACCAGAGAAGGTTTGTGTTTATAGAGCGTCCACGTATCACATTACCGGCCATGATCGCGGTCTCACAAGGGAAGGTTCGTGACTATAATTAGGGAGAAAACTACGTGACAGCCAGCTACACCTTATTGTTCGGGCTGTCGTGAATGCCGGTACTTTAGACGTGTGAGAAATCAGGACAACGTTACAATAAAGCGAACTCGGCCCGTGGTATCAAAACAGTATAGACTTCAAAATTTGTTTAGAATCCATACAATATTTTAAACCATAATCATTATGCTCCAAACTATTGTAAAGGATATCCTACAATAAACAATTGTGGACTACAATATCACTGCCCTTCATTGACGCCCCTTCCTCCATTAAAGTTGTGCGACGTGGACAATGCGATGATTATAATAATTATTATGTCAGCACCATTGGAAACGATTGTATATAACAATTTGAATGAATTCGGTAAATTAATAATTCTGTAAGGGAACGGATGAATGTTTAAGATGACACAACATAACAACACTTTTACTTTCTTCCAAAAAAAAAATAAAAAAAAAAAAAATCACTCAGTTGGATGCTCCCCCCCCCCCCACTAATGTGGATCACCTACCCCGCCCCTATGCCCTCCTCCCACCCTCTATGCTCGCCACTGAGTGCTGATTTTGTTATACCAAGACAAATAGGCCTACATATATGGCAACTACAACAAGAAAGTCAGGACTAGCGTTCACTAACTGTCTACTAAAGGCATCCCGTCTGTTCACTACAAAACGTCTTCATCGGCCCGCATACAATAGGGTATCTGATTACGTGTTTTTCCAAATTCTCCTCCCTGGTCAGGTCGGGGGATAATTCGAGTCCACCCATCTCCAGTCACCTCAGGTCAAATGCGAGGCGACCGTATCCTGCACACAGTGAGGTGTTTGGCACTATTGTTTATCTATAATTTACGGCCTGTTTCAGTTTAGGTGGGTGCTAACTCATTAACATTAACAGGGGCCTCAGTGATAACAATGAAAAACGTCGGCATTCGACCATTTCGTTATGGCGCCTACGTTAGTTTAAGTGAGCGCATACGACTAACAATATGTTAACTGAATCGAATATGTGCGTCCTCCGGCGTCCCGACAGGGTGCTATTTAGCGCCCTGGCCTTCCCCTGTTTGCTATTGCGCATAAGACTAAGAATAAGTTGGGGCACTATTGTCGTTTACTAAGTTGAATCAGGCGGTTCCGCCGGCGCCCCAGCATGGTGCGATTTGGCGCCCCGACTGGACTATGAGTAGTATGCTTTATGTTTGTATTTAAGTTTGTGTTTATGTTTGCGTTTATTTGCATTATTTTGAGTTATTGTTTGCGTTAAGGTTTGCAGTTGTTTTTCTATTTGTGTTTGCTTTTTTTGTTTGCGTTTGTGTTTTCTTTGTGTTTGGGTTTGCGTTTGTGGTTGGGTTTGTTTTTTGCGTTTGTATTTGTATTTGTTTTTTTTTTGTATTTTTTTTTTTGTATCCGTGTTTGCGATATATTTGCGTTTATTTTTGTGTTTGTTTTGTTGTTGGTTGGTTGTGGTTAGTGTTAATTCGAAAAGTAACATATTTCCTAAACCCGAACAATGCCTGGTATATGCTGATTACTAAACACACACGTCATGGTCCTTTAGATAGGTTTTCAGAGAGGCCAGTGCAGGGCGTGGCCGGGACGGCTAGTGGAAAAATATGAAAATTTATAAAAAATATAAGTAGGCCTACCACTTTAATTAAGTGACTATTATTTTTTTAATTTAATATGAATTTTAAAAATTATTGATGTAATTAATAGTATTATCTCATCTGAGTCGCTAATTGGTGGAGGTATCGATATTTTTTGAAAATTTCTGGTGTGGCGCCATTTTTAATCTCTTGCTGTATCGGTAGTTTACAATTGTTCTGTGCAGTTCTCACACACGTTTCTGAATTCCCTTTGTTTTACCTTATTTTTCAAGTTTTCAACCCCAAATATTTTTTGTTGGCACCTTCAATAGTCAGGCAAATGCATTTAACTTCTAGTTATAAAATTTAATCAAATTGTCTTTGTATTAGATCGTTGGTTACAAGTTGACTTATAAGTACCGTCAGGACACACGGTCATTTTATTTTTAGGATTTCTTGGAATGGCAGATTTTTCGATGTGAAGCGAAATAAATATTATTTTGATAATTAGTTATCGAAATGTACTAAAAAATTATATTTACACATTTATAAGAAGATTAGCATATGGTTTACCTAAGAAATATTGTAATTGCATGTTGATTTTTAGTAGTAATGAATAACAAGAATAAAGGTAGCAGTTGCAGGCTCGTTTACTAGGTTTAGTATACTTCATTTGTATACCAAAGTCTAGTTCTATTAGTAAGATTTAATTTGTTAGTTATATTTACTGCAATAAAATGTTTTGCCTACAATAACTAGCATTTACGTGATGAATCCCTGTAGACTAGTGTTAGTCCATACTTCTGCATATAGTATAGACCTAGATCTATATGGTAAATTTTAATCAGTAAACAGAAAACAGTAGGCCACTACGGCTATCCTTAACACATTGAGCTCACTTCTATTTATGAACTTTACACTAGTATGACTAGTAGTAGTGGACTCAATGACTAGGCTTTTGTTTGTTTATGCGGCTCATTGTAATAGCTTCAAGCAAAAGCATGTTCAGTCCGGCAACCGTTGCTACACCTGAAACTCCACAGTCAAGAATGAGGGAACATGACATGTCGGCAACTTTTGCTGTGTTTGATGTCTAAGATGTGTTCCGACAGAAAATCCAGTAAAAAATCGTACTCAAAATATACTTTTGTGCTGTATTTATGTATGAAAATTACAAAAATGATTGTTATAATGATTGCCATGTTATTAGTTAATAAATTGTATCGTTTGTTCCTGTTTTGTAAAAAAAAAAATTTTTGGAAAAAATGTCCTACATTCCTGACGGTACTTATAAGTACCAATATATGTTGGTCCATTAAAAATTGATGAAACGAAATTTCCTTTGACATATGCTCTAAGTGTGCCAAAAGCAATATAATAACACATTGTTTAAGAAAAAATTTCATTCAGAACCTAATTCCGTAGATAAAGAGTTAAAGAAAAATTGGGATGTTAGTCCTACCCTATCTGCGCCTCAAACATAACCTTTGACACATCGTAACCTTTCGAGGTTACGAACTCTCGCTTGAACGTTCTGTTTGGACTATGATCTTTGGCGGTGTAAAAATTCAATAATAAAACGTAGATCTAAATCTAGTCTAGATCTAGATCTGGAATCTGGAGTATAGATTTAGACTTAGAGTGTTCTACATTCTCTAGATCTAGTAGTAGACTAGATCAAGATCTAGATTCTAGATCGAATTTCTAACGGAGAAAAATCATTGCAGAATTTTGTATAAAAACAAACATGGCAAATAATAGAGACAGAGCAGCAAATCAGCTAAGCGAGTTTAAGAAATCTCAGCCTCAGCTGGTAAGAATTTTTTTTAGATCTAATCTAGACTAGATCTAGATCTAGATCTAGAAATCTAGATCTAGATTTACTAAGATTTAGATCTATTCTAGAGACTTAACAGATAACTTAACTAATAGGCCTAATATCTAATAATTAGGTAATAGTAAGTAAACTATCGGTAATCTATCGTTTTGGGTACGTTACTAAAATCGCCCGCATCTAGATCTAGATCTAGAATCTAGAGAGAATCTAGATCTATAAATGTACGAAAAAGTTACCTCATTGTCAAGGCTTTAATAGAAGTATGTTGACATATGTTTGTGACAAATATATATAAATGAATAATTAACCTAAATGATAGTTTTTCTCACTAAATCTAGAATTTACGCAATTATCAATTTAAACATGACCACTGAATAATAGACATCCATATTTAATCCATTAGGCACTAACTTTGGAGTTTTTAGTTCGTTTTGAACTAAATTAGTTAATTTAATATTTATTGTCAATCACTACCATGTCCAACACATCTCTCCATGACAACTCTTCTTAAGCTTGAAGCTAAAGAAAACCACAAATCAGGTTAGACTCCATGCACAAGAGTTCCTCACTAGTGATCACCAAATAGCGGTCACGTGGTTTTTAAAAAATAAAAATAAATTGGTTGTGATACGGACGCCGGTCTTATAAAAAAACAGCTCACAATATTTGATTTCTTTTTTCATAGACTGATAAAACTAATAATGCTTTACGTTCTCGCTCATTTCTGTACCTACACTGTTGATATTTTAAAAATTCTATTAATTTTAATGAAACCAACTTTTGAATTTAGCCTCCGTTCTCCAAACCAAATTTTAAAATGCTTTTCTGGCATATCTAACCCTGCCACTTATGGTTTGTTGTTATGACACGGAAATCCCGCCATTTTGCGCGTGGTAAACATTTTTAAATGTAATTAGTTGAAGGTCTCTGGAATTTGGCCGAAAAATCACCGGAAATCAGACGTCCGGTCCGGGCGCCATATTGTTGTTAGCAACCGACCACGCATCCAAGTTAGAGAGAAATACTACTAAATGAAATCAATGGCTAAATTACTAAATAAATATATCAACATAGGCCAGAAATCAACTTTAAACAGCACTGTTTGCGAGCAAGATTTCCTATATAATTATATAAACAGCAGCGATTTGTAAAATAGAGTTGCCTTCCCCTGAATCTCGCGCTTTAAGTTTGAAAAAGAATAACTTAAACAAGATGGCTGCTATAGAATAGTAAATGAGCATGGTTGCATCTGTTGGAAACATCGATAGTCTTCATTTATTACTGAAAAGTTTTAATTCAGTTGTTTAAAAACAGGTACATAAATGAAACAAGGAATCATTTTTCTATTTTTCAAAACATAAATCCTCCTCAAAATGTGAAATAATTATTAAAATTTAAGGAGTCACCTGTCTTTCACATTACTAGTCGCGGGCGATTTTACGTATCTAAAACGATAGATTACCAAACTATCTTAGGTTAGGTGTAGGCCAGTGTAGGGTAGGACTAGGGATAGGGTTAGCATTGGATTAGCAAGCTATTTGGGTGTTGGGGATGACATTTAGAATTTAAAATATAAATTTTATCTAGATGTAGATTTAAAAAACTTCAGTGTAAAATATCCATCTCTTTATGAACTCACAGCTACCCGTCAACAGAGAATGAATTTTTCATCCCACTCACAAAAAAAATGTGGGAGCGATTATAGTAGCTTTGATGTTAAGTCTTTTACTTTTGAATATTTAAAAATATCTGAACTAGATCAAGAAATTGTTTTTAAAAGTACAACCCCCAACCCTTGTTTAGTGTTATAACTTTTTCTTTTACTAGATCAAGAAATTGTTTTTAAAAGTACACCCCCCAACCCTTGTTTAGTGTTATAACTTTTTCTTTTACTAGATCAAGAAATTGTTTTTAAAAGTACACCCCCCAACCCTTGTTTAGTGTTATAACTTTTTCTTTTACTAGATCAAGAAAATTTTTTTAAAAGTACAACCCCCAACCCTTGTTTAGTGTTACAACCCCCAACCCTTGTTTAGTGTTACAACCCCCAACCCTTGTTTAGTGTTACAACCCCCAACCCTTGTTTAGTGTTACAACCCCCAACCCTTGTTTAGTGTTACAACCCCCAACCCTTGTTTAGTGTTACAACCCCCAACCCTTGTTTAGTGTTATAACTTTTTCTTTTCGCCCATCTGTTGACAAAAAAAAACACCAACCGATGAAACAAAAAAAAGTCTTGCGAAATGTGTTGCTATTTACTTACCTCACTGCAGCTACCATTTGTTTTTATCTTTTCGCTAACCAGTTATTTGGCTGCTACTATGTGTTGCTTTGTCTTATCTGTGTATTTACATACATACTTCATTTTTCACTGTTTGTCTTTATTTGTCTAATCTGTAACCACACTGTTGTGTGCTGACCTTAAGTCGAAACGTCCATAGTACTTGTAACTGTCTTGAACTTGTCAGGTAACTAACACTATCTGTTTTATTGACCTTGGGTCAAAACGTCCATAGTACTTGTAACTGTCTTGAACTTGTCAGGTAACTAACACTATCTGTTTTATTACTATTTAACTGTGATTCTGCTGGTAGGTCTTGCATCTTCTTGTTACTATTTACCGGCTCGCCATTTCGTATCTCGCAATTTACCAACATCCAAGCCATATGTATAGGCCTATTTAATCACTACCAGTAACCTAACACTATACCCTTTCTATTATCAGACACTGGTATAAAAAAAAATGCAAATTATATAACTGAAGACATTACTCATACAAATGTGTATAGAAGACACTACTCATACAAATGTATATAGAAGACATTACTCATACAAATGTATATAGAAGACACTACTCATACAAATGTATATAGAAGACATTACTCATACAAATGTATATAGAAGAAACTACTCATACAAATGTATATAGAAGACACTACTCATACAAATGTGTATTATAGAAGACAAATGTTTATTATTTTCATTGATCCAATTTTCTAGAAATCTGAAACAATAAGAACAGGCAAATGTTTATTATTTTCATTGATCCAATTTTCTAGAAATCTGAAACAATAAGAACAGGCAAATGTTTATTATTTTCATTGATCCAATTTTCTAGAAATCTGAAACAATAAGAACAGGCAAATGTTTATTATTTTCTTTGATCCAATTTTCTAGAAATCTGAAACAATAAGAACAGGCAAATGTTTATTATTTTCATTGATCCAATTTTCTAGAAATCTGAAACAATAAGAACAGGCAAATGTTTATTATTTTCATTGATCCAATTTTCTAGAAATCTGAAACAATAAGAACAGGCAAATGTTTATTATTTTCATTGATCCAATTTTCTAGAAATCTGAAACAATAAGAACAGGCTAATGTTTATTATTTTCATTGATCCAATTTTCTAGAAATCTGAAACAATAAGAACAGGCAAATGTTTATTATTTTCATTGATCCAATTTTCTAGAAATCTGAAACAATAAGAACAGGCAAATGTTTATTATTTTCATTGATCCAATTTTCTAGAAATCTGAAACAATAAGAACAGGCAAATGTTTATTATTTTCATTGATCCAATTTTCTAGAAATCTGAAACAATAAGAACAGGCAAATGTTTATTATTTTCATTGATCCAATTTTCTAGAAATCTGAAACAATAAGAACAGGCAAATGTTTATTATTTTCTTTGATCCAATTTTCTAGAAATCTGAAACAATAAGAACAGGCAAATGTTTATTATTTTCATTGATCCAATTTTCTAGAAATCTGAAACAATAAGAACAGGCAAATGTTTATTATTTTCATTGATCCAATTTTCTAGAAATCTGAAACAATAAGAACAGGCAAATGTTTATTATTTTCATTGATCCAATTTTCTAGAAATCTGAAACAATAAGAACAGGCAAATGTTTATTATTTTCTTTGATCCAATTTTCTAGAAATCTGAAACAATAAGAACAGGCAAATGTTTATTATTTTCATTGATCCAATTTTCTAGAAATCTGAAACAATAAGAACAGGCGCTGGTGCTCCTGTGGGCAACAAGAATGCCACTCTGACTGTTGGTCCTAGAGGACCCGTCCTCCTACAGGACCATGTTTTCTTAGATGAGATGGCTCACTTCAACCGGGAGAGGATTCCTGAGAGGGTTGTACATGCTAAAGGGGCAGGTTAGTGATGGGATTCCTGAGAGGGTTGTACATGCTAAAGGGGCAGGTTAGTCTTGGGATTCCTGAGAGGGTTGTACATGCTAAAGGGGCAGGTTAGTGTTGGGATTCCTGAGAGGGTTGTACATGCTAAAGGGGCAGGTTAGTGTTGGGCAAATCTATTGTAGGTTAGTGTTGGGCAAATCTATTGTAGGTTAGTCTTGGGCTAATCTATTTTAGGTTAGTGTTGGGCTAATCTATTGTGGGATAAAGTTGGGCTTATCTATTGTAGGTTAGTGTTGGGCTAATCTATTTTAGGTTAGTGTTGGTCTAATCTATTGTAGGTTAGTCTTGGGCTAATCTATTTTAGGTTAGTGTTGGGCTAATCTATTTTAGGTTAGTGTTGGGCAAATCTATTGTAGGTTAGTGTTGGGCTAATCTATTTTAGGTTAGTGTTGGGCTAATCTATTGTGGGATAGAGTTGGGCTTATCTATTGTAGGTTAGTGTTGGGCAAATCTATTGTAGGTTAGTGTTGGGCTAATCTATTTTAGGTTAGTGTTGGGCAAATCTATTTTAGGTTAGTGTTGGGCTAATCTATTTTAGGTTAGTGTTGGGCTTATCTATTGTAGGTTAGTGTTGGGCAAATCTATTGTAGGTTAGTGTTGGGCTAATCTATTTTAGGTTAGTGTTGGGCAAATCTATTTTAGGTTAGTGTTGGGCAAATCTATTGTAGGTTAGTGTTGGGCTAATCTATTTTAGGTTAGTGTTGGGCAAATCTATTTTAGGTTAGTGTTGGGCAAATCTATTTTAGGTTAGTGTTGGGCAAATCTATTTTAGGTTAGTGTTGGGCAAATCTATTTTAGGTTAGTGTTGGGCTAATCTATTGTAGGTTAGTGTTGGGCAAATCTATTGTAGGTTAGTGTTGGGCTAATCTATTTTAGGTTAGTGTTGGGCAAATCTATTTTAGGTTAGTGTTGGGCAAATCTATTCACTTTGTTTTAGGGATGGGCAAATCTATTCGCTTTGTTTTTGAGTTGGGCAAATCTATTTGTTTTGTTTTAGGGTTAGTGTTGGGCAAATCTATTCGCTTTGTTTTAGGTTAGTGTTGGACTAAACTATTTGCTTTGTTTTAGGTTAGTGTTGGGCAAATCTATTTGCTTTGTTTTAGGGTTGGACTAAACTATTAGCTTTGTTTTAGGTTAGTGTTGGGCATATCTATTTGCTTTGTTTTAGGGTTGGGCAAATCTATAAGCCTTGTTTTAGGGTTGGACTAAACTATTAGCTTTGTTTTAGGTTAGTGTTGGGCATATCTATTTGCTTTGTTTTAGGGTTGGGCAAATCTATAAGCTTTGTTTTAGGTTAGGGTTGGGCAAATCTATTAGCTTTGTTTTAGGTTAGTGTTGGGCATATCTATTTGCTTTGTTTTAGGGTTGGGCAAATCTATTTGCTTTGTTTTAGGGTTGGACTAAACTATTAGCTTTGTTTTAGGTTAGGGTTGGGCAAATCTATTTGCTTTGTTTTAGTGTTGGGCAAATCTATAAGCTTTGTTTTAAGGCCTATGTTAACTGTTAAAAATCAAGGCAACTTTTGACAGGTGCTTTTGGCTATCTGGAAGTGACCCATGACATCAGCAGATACAGCAAGGCCAAAATCTTTGAGCATGTTGGCAAAAAGACAGAACTGGCCGTCAGATTTTCAACAGTTGGTAAGGTTATGGATTTCACAGATATCAAGAGGTAAACGAAAATTCCTCACATGCATGCAAGGTCTTTACCTGAATGAAAGTAAAACATAAAAGGTCTTGAACTGAATGAAAGTAAAACATAAAAGGTCTTGAACTGAATGAAAGTAAAACATAAAAGGTCTTGAACTGAATGAAAGTAAAACATAAAAGGTCTTGAACTGAATGAAAGTAAAACATAAAAGGTCTTTTTACTTTTCCAGGTGGAGAAAAGGGGTCTGCTGACACAGCCAGGGACCCCAGGGGTTTTGCCATCAAGTTCTACACAGAGGATGGGAACTGGGACCTTGTAGGCAACAACACACCCATTTTCTTTATCAGAGACCCAATCCTGGTAAATTTAAACCACAGTGACATAACACTGGCTCTTGTCTTTACACACTACACTGTCTGGCTCTTGTCTTTACACACTACACTGTCTCTTGTCTTTACACACTACACTGTCTGGCTCTTGTCTTTACACACTACACTGTCTGGCTCTTGTCTTTACACACTACACTGTCTGGCTCTTGTCTTTACACACTACACTGTCTTGCTCTTGTCTTTACACACTACACTGTCTGTCTCTTGTCTTTACACACTACACTGTCTGGCTCTTGTCTTTACACACTACACTGTCTTGCTCTTGTCTTTACACACTACACTGTCTGTCTCTTGTCTTTACACACTACACTGTCTCTTGTCTTTACACACTACACTTGCTCTTGTCTTTACACACTACACTGTCTGGCTCTTGTCTTTACACACTACATTGTCTGGCTCTTGTCTTTACACACTACACTGTCTGGCTCTTGTCTTTACACACTACACTTGCTCTTGTCTTTACACACTACACTGTCTTGCTCTTGTCTTTACACACTACACTGTCTTGCTCTTGTCTTTACACACTACACTGTCTCTTGTCTTTACACACTACACTGTCTTGCTCTTGTCTTTACACACTACACTTGCTCTTGTCTTTACACACTACACTGTCTTGCTCTTGTCTTTACACACTACACTGTCTGTCTCTTGTCTTTACACACTACACTGTCTGGCTCTTGTCTTTACACAATACACTGTCTTGCTCTTGTCTTTACACACTACACTGTCTGGCTCTTGTCTTTACACACTACACTGTCTGGCTCTTGTCTTTACACACTACACTGTCTGGCTCTTGTCTTTACACACTACACTGTCTTGCTCTTGTCTTTACACACTACACTGTCTGGCTCTTGTCTTTACACACTACACTGTCTGGCTCTTGTCTTTACACACTACACTGTCTGGCTCTTGTCTTTACACACTACACTGTCTGGCTCTTGTCTTTACACACTACACTGTCTTGCTCTTGTCTTTACACACTACACTGTCTGGCTCTTGTCTTTACACACTACACTGTCTGGCTCTTGTCTTTACACACTACACTTGCTCTTGTCTTTACACACTGTCTGGCTCTTGTCTTTACACACTACACTGTCTGGCTCTTGTCTTTACACACTATACTTGCTCTTGTCTTTACACACTACACTGTCTGGCTCTTGACTTTACACACTACACTGTCTGGCTCTTGTCTTTACACACTACACTGTCTGGCTCTTGTCTTTACACACTACACTGTCTGGCTCTTGTCTTTACACACTACACTGTCTGGCTCTTGTCTTTACACACTGCACTGTCTGGCTCTTGTCTTTACACACTACACTGTCTGGCTCTTGTCTTTACACACTACACTGTCTGGCTCTTGTCTTTACACACTACACTGTCTGGCTCTTGTCTTTACACACTACACTTGCTCTTGTCTTTACACACTACACTTGCTCTTGTCTTATAATATTTAACCATGTACCTAATGCTTTATTTGTGATACAAATTCTGACCTATTGCCATTTTGTCAACAGTTCCCAAGTTTTATTCATACACAGAAAAGGAATCCAGTGACCAACCTCAAGGTCAGTGGCTCATGTGTCCCAGAGATTGATTGTTGACAAGTGATACATGTTCCACTTTGATGGCCCACTGTTTTAGGTTTTGTCACCATTGTCTGCCCTTGTCACCACTGTCTGTCCTTGTCACCACTGTCTGCCCTTGTCACCACTGTCTGCTCTTGTCACCACTGTTACCACTGTCTGCCCTTGTCACCATTGTCTGCCCTTGTCACCATTGTCTGCCCTTGTCACCACTGTCTGCCCTTGTTACCACTGTCTGCCCATGCCACCATTGTCTGCCCTTGTCACCACTGTCTGCCCATGCCACCATTGTCACCATTGTCTGCCCTTGTCACCATTGTTACCATTGTCTGCCCTTGTTACCACTATCTACCTTTGTCACCATTGTCTGCCCATGTCACCATTGTCACCACTGTCTGCTCTTGTCACCACTGTTACCACTGTCTGCCCTTGTCACCATTGTCTGCCCTTGTCACCACCGTTACCACTGTCTGCCCTTGTTACCACTGTCTGCCCATGCCACCATTGTCTGCCCTTGTCACCACTGTCTGCCCATGCCACCATTGTCACCATTGTCTGCCCTTGTCACCATTGTTACCATTGTCTGCCCTTGTTACCACTATCTACCTTTGTCACCATTGTTTGCCCTTGTCACCATTGTCACCACTGTCTGCCCTTGTCACCACTGTCTGCCCTTGTCACCATTGACTTCCCATGTCACCATTGTCACCATTGTCTGCCCTTGTCACCACTGTCTACCTTTGTCACCATTGTCTGCCCTTGTCACCATTGTCACCATTGTCTGCCCTTGTCACCATTGTCACCATTGTCTGCCCTTGTCAACACTGTCTACCTTTGTCACCATTGTCTGCCCATGTCACCATTGTCACCATTGTCTGCCCTTGTCACCATTGTCTGCCCTTGTCACCACTGTCTACCTTTGTCACCATTGCCTGCCCATGTCACCATTGTCACCATTGTCCGCCCTTGTCACCATTGTTACCATTGTCTGCCCTTGTCACCATTGTTACCACTGTTTGCCCTTGTCACCACTGTCTGCCCTTGTCACCATTGTCTGCCCTTGCCACCGTTGTCACCATTGTCTGCCCTTGTCACCATTGTGACCACGGTCTGCCCTTGTCACCACTGTCTGCCCTTGTCACCATTGTTACCATTGTCTGCCCTTGTCACCACTGTCTGCCCTTGCCACCATTGTCTGCCCTTGCCACCGTTGTCACCATTGTTTGCCGTTGTCACCATTGTTACCATTGTATGCCCTTGTCACCACTGTCTGCCCTTGTTACCACTGTCTGCCCTTGTTACCACTGTCTGCCCATGCCACCATTGACTTCCCTTGTCACCACTGTCTGCCCTTGTCACCATTGACTTCCCTTGTCACCACTGTCTGCCCTTGCCACCATTGTCTGCCCTTGTCACCATTGTTACCACTGTCTGCCCTTGTCACCACTGTCTGCCCTTGTCACCACTGTCTGCCCTTGTCACCATTGTCTGCCCTTGTCACCACTGTCTGCCCTTGTCACCACTGTCTGCCCTTGTCACCACTGTCTGCCCTTGTCACCACTGTCTGCCCTTGTCACCACTGTCTGCCCTTGTCACCATTGTCTGCCCTTGTCACCACTGTCTGCCCTTGTCACCACTGTCTGCCCTTGTCACCACTGTCTGCCCACCACCACCAGGATGCAGATATGGTCTGGGACTTCTTCACCCTGAGACCTGAAACGACACACCAGGTGTGCTTCTTGTTCTCTGACCGTGGGACACCTGATGGATACAGACACATGAACGGCTATGGCAGCCACACTTTTAAGCTGGTCAACAAGAGTGGTCAAGCGCATTACTGCAAGTTTCATTTCAAGGTCAAAATTATTGTCATGTAATCCAGATAAAACTAGCTCTTTTGATGGTATCTCGGCCTATTAATTAAAGCATTAAACTCTAATTTAATATGTTATCTTGACCTTTTAGTTACAGTATTTAACTCTAGTTTAATATAGCACTAAGCTCTGTCTAATTTATTTTAACATTAAGCTCTGTTTAATTTATTATAACATTACGAGCTGACCCGCGACTTAGCATACGCCACTATCTAGTTGTTTTATTTTCTACTTATCAACAATTCATAATTTGTGAATTCGACACTACCCCACCCCCTGCCTTCCACCCCACCCCGCCCAGTGAAAGCAGCCGTTTACAGACGACAATGAAAATATCAAGCAGAACTTATTTTTATCTCCCCTTAGTTTCAAATCGTTTAAAAACTAAATTATCTGCCCCTAATAGCCGTCACTTATTCAAACCGGCTCTACTGTTGTAAACATTCGGGTGAACCACAGCTCACCTGACAGGTGGGGATGAGAGTGGTGGCTAAGCTGAGTGGTGTTTTGTATGGTCCCCATGAAGAGAATTAATTATATAGAAGCTCTGCCTAATTTATTGTAACATTAAGCTGTCTAATTTTTTTATAATATTAAGCTCTGTCTAATTTATTATAACATTAAGCTCTGTCTAATTTATTCAAGTTCCATTTTTTAACCTATGTTCTTTGGAGCATATGTAGGGATAATGCGGTCAGCACTTAGCCCAGCCACCTTTACTTCCCTAACAATAGTTATTGACCCATCAGAGCTGGGTGGACTCAGGGACGTTTTACTGACTTCAACCCATATTCGAACTTGAGACTTTTGGGAGTCTAGCACTTTAGCACTAGACCACGCCCTACCTGTCTCTTATAGCATTACAGTGTATGACAGCCAGCCATTGTTGTGTTTGACAGACTGACCAAGGCATCAAGAACCTGATGGCAGACAGAGCAGCAGACCTTCAAGGCACTGACCCAGACTACTCCACCAGAGATCTCTACAACGCCATCGCTGATGGGGACTTTCCTTCATGGACCTTGTACATCCAGGTCATGACCTTTGACCAGGCTGAAAAGTTCAGGTGGAATCCATTTGACCTCACCAAGGTAAGATCAGTCGGCCACTGAACACAAAATTGAAGAAAACACATATAAATAATAGAAGGTGTTTTGTCATTCTTGTTGGTTTCACTGAAGGAAATTAACCTGCCCAGTGGTGTCAGACACAGGGGATAATTCAATTGATTAAGTGCAGTATGTTGGTGCTATGATTGTTACAGTTTGTCACCTGTGACTGACCAAAGATTTTCTTCCTGCAGGTATGGCCTCACAAGGAGTTCCCGCTAATACCAGTTGGGAAGATGGTCTTGAACCGTAACCCCAAGAACTACCATGCTCAGGTGGAACAAATTGCTTTCTCACCTGCCCACATGGTGCCAGGCATTGAGCCTAGCCCAGACAAAATGTTACAGGTGAGATTTGTCCTAGCTAGCTGCACAAGAAAACCATCCAATGTCCCCAGTTGCACAAGAAAACCATCCAATGTCCCCAGCTGCACAAGAAAACCATCCAATGTCCCCAGTTGCACAAGAAAACCATCCAATGTCCCCAGTTGCACAAGAAAACCATCCAATGTCCCCAGTTGCACAAGAAAACCATCCAATGTCCCCAGTTGCACAAGAAAACCATCCAATGTCCCCAGCTGCACAAGAAAACCATCCAATGTCCCCAGTTGCACAAGAAAACCATCCAATGTCCCCAGTTGCACAAGAAAACCATCCAATGTCCCCAGTTGCACAAGAAAACCATCCAATGTCCCCAGCTGCACAAGAAAACCATCCAATGTCCCCAGTTGCACAAGAAAACCATCCAATGTCCCCAGTTGCACAAGAAAACCATCCAATGTCCCCAGCTGCACAAGAAAACCATCCAATGTCCCCAGTTGCACAAGAAAACCATCCAATGTCCCCAGTTGCACAAGAAAACCATCCAATGTCCCCAGCTGCACAAGAAAACCATCCAATGTCCCCAGTTGCACAAGAAAACCATCCAATGTCCCCAGTTGCACAAGAAAACCATCCAATGTCCCCAGCTGCACAAGAAAACCATCCAATGTCCCCAGTTGCACAAGAAAACCATCCAATGTCCCCAGTTGCACAAGAAAACCATCCAATGTCCCCAGTTGCACAAGAAAACCATCCAATGTCCCCAGTTGCACAAGAAAACCATCCAATGTCCCCAGTTGCACAAGAAAACCATCCAATGTCCCCAGCTGCACAAGAAAACCATCCAATGTCCCCAGTTGCACAAGAAAACCATCCAATGTCCCCAGTTGCACAAGAAAACCATCCAATGTCCCCAGCTGCACAAGAAAACCATCCAATGTCCCCAGTTGCACAAGAAAACCATCCAATGTCCCCAGTTGCACAAGAAAACCATCCAATGTCCCCAGCTGCACAAGAAAACCATCCAATGTCCCCAGTTGCACAAGAAAACCATCCAATGTCCCCAGTTGCACAAGAAAACCATCCAATGTCCCCAGTTGCACAAGAAAACCATCCAATGTCCCCAGTTGCACAAGAAAACCATCCAATGTCCCCAGCTGCACAAGAAAACCATCCAATGTCCCCAGTTGCACAAGAAAACCATCCAATGTCCCCAGCTGCACAAGAAAACCATCCAATGTCCCCAGTTGCACAAGAAAACCATCCAATGTCCCCAGTTGCACAAGAAAACCATCCAATGTCCCCAGTTGCACAAGAAAACCATCCAATGTCCCCAGTTGCACAAGAAAACCATCCAATGTCCCCAGCTGCACAAGAAAACCATCCAATGTCCCCAGTTGCACAAGAAAACCATCCAATGTCCCCAGTTGCACAAGAAAACCATCCAATGTCCCCATAATTTCATGTCCTCCTCTAGGGCCGTCTGTACTCATACACTGACACCCACCGCCATCGCCTGGGATCCAACTACCTTCAGATACCAGTCAACTGTCCTTACAGTTCAAAGGTCAAAAACTACCAGCGTGATGGTCCACAGTGTGTCACAGACAACCAAGGTAAAGCATGACACCCCAGGTAAAGCATGACAACCCAGGTAAAGCATGACAACCCAGGTAAAGCATGACAACCCAGGTAAAGCATGACAACCCAGGTAAAGCATGACAACCCAGGTAAAGCATGACAACCCAGGTAAAGCATGACAACCCAGGTAAAGCATGACAACCCAGGTAAAGCATGACAACCAAGGTAAAGCATGACAACCCAGGTAAAGCATGACAACCCCAGGTAAAGCATGACAACCAAGGTAAAGCATGACAACCAAGGTAAAGCATGACAACCCAGGTAGAGCATGACAACCAAGGTAAAGCATGACAACCCAGGTAAAGCATGACAACCCCAGGTAAAGCATGACAACCAAGGTAAAGCATGACAACCCAGGTAAAGCATGACAACCCAGGTAAAGCATGACAACCCAGGTAAAGCATGACAACCCAGGTAAAGCATGACAACCCAGGTAAAGCATGACAACCCAGGTAAAGCATGACAACCAAGGTAAAGCATGACAACCCAGTAAAATGCACGTTACAATATTTCCTCTATACTCTGTATATGATAAAGTAAAAAGGCAGAGTCTACTGCTCCCCAAACGAAATGGAATTTATACAGTGGTGTGTGGTCGTCCCCCCCCCCCCCCCCCCCTCCTGAAATTATAGTCGTCCTTCCCCCTTCCCAAAATTTCAATTCCCCCCCATCCCCTCCTGGAGAAAAAAGTCTGGAAGAAAAAGACGGTTAAAAAGTGCTCCGACCTTTTCAAATAAGGGTGGTGGGGGCCATTTTCACTAATGCAAATACTAATATATAGGTTTAATTTGAAGATAGGCCGCAAAATTGATAGTTTGTCCTGGGCACCTAAATAGATTGCTACACCTTTGTATATAGTTAATGTAATCTAATCAAAGTTATAAATTATTAGGTACTTTAGCCACATCTGCTCTTACACATTTGTTTGTTTATTTGTTTGTTTATTAATTTGTTTGTTTTTTGTTCATTTGTTTTTCATTTTTTTCTTCATTTGTTTCTTTGTTTCTTCATTTATTTGTTTCTTTGTTTCTTCATTTATTTGTTGATTTCTTCAAGAGGGAGCCCCCAACTATTTCCCCAACAGTTTTGGGGGGCCCCAGGACCTGAGCTCATGTGTGGAGTGCACCTTCCCAGTCAGTGGTGATGTCCAGAGGTACAACACAGCTGATGAGGACAACTTTACACAGGCAGCTTCCTTCTGGAACAATGTAATTGGTTTTTGTCTTCTGAGGGTCAGTGGGTGTAGGAAGGGGGGGGGGGGGGGGGGGTTATAGAATGTCAGTGGGGGGAGGGAGGGAGGGGGGACAGAATGTCAGTGGGTGTAGGAAGGGGGGGGTTACAGAATGTCAGTGGGGGGAGGGAGTGAGGGAGGGGGGTACAGAATGTCAGTGGGTGGAGGGGGGGTTACAGAATGTCAGTGGGGGGAGGGGGGGTTACAGAATGTCAGTGGGTGTAGGGAGTGGGGTACAGAATGTCACAGGGTGTAGGGAGTGAGGGAGAGGGGTACAGAATGTCAGTGGGGGGAGGGAGTGAGGGAGGGGGGTACAGAATGTCAGTGGGTGGAGGGGGGGTTACAGAATGTCAGTGGGGGGAGGGGGGGTTACAGAATGTCAGTGGCTGTAGGGAGTGGGGTACAGAATGTCACAGGGTGTAGGGAGTGAGGGAGAGGGGTACAGAATGTCAGTGGAGTGAGGGAGAGGGGTACAGAATGTCAGTGGAGGGGGGGAGAGGGGTACAGAATGTCAGTGGAGTGAGGGAGAGGGGTACAGAATGTCAGTGGAGGGAGGGAGAGGGGTACAGAATGTCAGTGGAGTGAGGGAGAGGGGTACAGAATGTCAGTGGAGGGAGGGAGGGGGTACAGAATGTCAGTGGGTGTAGGGAGGGGGGGGTACAGAATGTCACAGGGTGTAGGGAGTGAGGGAGAGGGGTACAGAATGTCAGTAGTGACAGTTGGTGATACTTGCAGGTGTTAACAGCAGCAGAACGCACACGTCTAGTAGAGAACATTGTCGGGCACCTGAAGGAAGCTCAAGACTTCATCCAGAAACGTGCAGTCAGCAACTTTACACAGGTGGACCCAGAGTTTGGGCGGAGGATAAGTCAGGGTTTAGGGCAAGCTGGAGCTGTGAGTTTCAAAACAAGTCTCGTCCAACATACATGTACAACATACATGTCCAACATACATGTACAACATACATGTCACGTCCAACATACATGTCCAACATACATGTCCAACATACATGTCCAACACACATGTCACGTCCAACATACGTGTACAACATACATGTATAACATACATGTCACGTCCAACATACATGTCACGTCCAACATACATGTACAACATACATGTCACGTCCAACATACATGTACAACATACATGTCACGTCCAACATACATGTACAACACACATGTCATGTCCAACATACGTGTACAACATACATGTACGACATACATGTCACGTCCAACATACATGTACGACATACATGTCCAACATACATGTACAACATACATGTACATTATACATGTCACGTCCAACATACATGTCACGTCCAACATACATGTACAACTTACATGTCACGTCCAACATACATGTACAACATGCATGTCACGTCCAACATACATGTACAACACACGTCACGTCCAACATACGTGTACAACATACATGTACAACATACATGTCACGTCCAACATACATGTACAACATACATGTCACGTCCAACATACATGTCACGCCCAACATACATGTCCAACATACATGTCCAACATACATGTACAACATACATGTACAACATACATGTCCAACATACATGTACAACATACATGTCACGTCCAACATACATGTCCAACACACATGTCACGTCCAACATACATGTCACGTCCAACATACATGTACAACATACATGTCACGTCCAACATACATGTCACGTCCAACATACATGTCCAACATACATGTCCAACATACATGTCCAACATACATGTACAACATACATGTCCAACATACATGTCCAACATACATGTACAACATACATGTACAACATACATGTCCAACACACATGTCACGTCCAACATACATGTCCAACACACATGACACGTCCAACATACGTGTACAACATACATGTCACGTCCAAATACATGTCCAACACACATGTCACGTCCAACATACATGTACAACATACATGTCCAACATACATGTACAACATACATGTCCAACATACATGTCCAACATACATGTACAACATACATGTACAACATACATGTATAACATACATGTCACGTCCAACATACATGTACAACATACATGTCACGTCCAACATACATGTACAACATACATGTCACGTCCAACATACATGTACAACACACATGTCATGTCCAACATACGTGTACAACATACATGTACGACATACATGTCACGTCCAACATACATGTACAACATACATGTACAACATACATGTACAACATACATGTCCAACATACATGTACATTATACATGTCACGTCCAACATACATGTCATGTACAACATACATGTCACGTCCAACATACATGTACGACATGCATGTCACGTCCAACATACATGTACAACACACGTCACGTCCAACATACGTGTACAACATACATGTACGACATACATGTCACGTCCAACATACATGTACAACATACATGTCACGTCCAACATACGTGTACAACATACATGTACAACATACATGTCACGTCCAACATACATGTACAACATACATGTCACGTCCAACATACGTGTACAACATACATGTACAACAAACATGTCACATCCAACATACATGTCATGTCCAACATACATGTACAACATACATGTCCAACATACATGTCATGTCCAACATACATGTACAACATACATGTCCAACACACATGTCACGTCCAACATACATGTCCAACACACATGTCACGTCCAACATACGTGTACAACATACATGTACAACATACATGTCACATCCAACATTCATGTCATGTCCAACATACAAGTCATGTCTAACATTCGTCCAACATACAAGTCATGTCCAACATACAAGTTATCTCTAACATACACCCAACATACTTGTCATGTCTAACATACATGTCATGTCTAACATACGTCCAACATACATGTCATGTCCAACATACAAGTCATGTCCAACATACGAGTCATGTCTAACATTCGTCCAACATACAAGTCATGTCCAACATACAAGTTATCTCTAACATACACCCAACATACTTGTCATGTCCAACATACATGTCATGTCTAACATTCGTCCAACATACATGTCATGTCCAACATACAAGTCATGTCCAACATACATCCAACATACAAGTCATGTCCAACATACATGTCATGTCTAACATACATCCAACATACATGTCATGTCCAACATACAAGTCATGTCCAACATACATCCAACATACAAGTCATGTCCAACATACATGTCATGTCTAACATACATCCAACATACATGTCATGTCCAACATACAAGTTATCTCTAACATACACCCAACACACATGTCATGTCCAACATACTTGTCATGTCCAACAAGTCATTTTTTGTTTTGTTCAGGGTAAACCTGCCAATCTGTGAAAGGTCACCTGTCAAAGGTCACCTGTGGAATTCTCTGCCCCTGAGAAGACTTGCACCAGTCAAATGTTAAACAGATTTTTTTCAATGGTTGTTAATTGGCCAAGCAAATCTATTTTTAGTAGTTATTTTGTTTTTTTAATCATTTTCACTTTGATGAAACATTTGTTTTTTAATTGAATGAACTAAAACTATTAAGTTAAACAAGCTGTTGTCTCCATCACCCCACGTATGTGTGTTAACCTTTATCTTTTATCTTGAACAAAACAAGAGGGAAGTTTCCTGATGGCTAGACATTGGCAAATCTTTTGTAGGCGTATGTTGGCCAAACTGTTGTAGGCGTATGTTGGCCAAACTGTTGTAGGTGAATGTTGGCCAAACTGTTGTAGGCCTATGTTGGCCAAACTGTTGTAGGTGAATGTTGGCCAATCTGTTGTAGGCGTATGTTGGCCAAACTATCCTGCACCAATTCTATGTACCTTATGTGAGCTTTGGCTACATGTAAGAACTGAAGCTACCCATCATTCTCATCATTAATCAGACTTGATTCAAATATTTTTTGGCTTTTAATGTCAATAAAAGTTGTTAAACCGTTGGTTTTTGTTTGACTTGTGACAAAGTCTATGTGAGAGTTACATACTGAGATGTAACTTTCCGCTTTTTCTGGATTTGCGCTTTTTCTGGATTTGTGCTTTTTCCGTTTAAGAAAAAAAATTTCCGCAAAAAAAAAATTAGATTTTTTTTTTGTGCCGACCAATGTCTAAATGTCCTCTATGTTTACTTCTGATATGTCTAAATGTCCTATGTTTACTTCTTATGTCTAAATGTCCCCTATGTTTACTTCTGATGTCTAAATGTCCTCTGTTTACTTCTGATATGTCTAAATGTCCTCTGTTTACTTCTGATATGTCTAAATGTCCTCTATGTTTACTTCTGATGTCTAAATGTCCTATGTTTACTTCTGATGTCTAAATGTCCTATGTTTACTTCTGATATGTCTAAATGTCCTCTGTTTACTTCGGATGTCTAAATGTCCTCTATGTTTACTTCTGATGTCTAAATGTCCTCTGTTCTTGATGTCTAAATGTCCTCTATGTTTACTTCTGATGTGTCTAAATGTCCTCTATGTTTACTTCTGATATGTCTAAATGTCCTCTGTTTACTTCTGATATGTCTAAATGTCCTATGTTTACTTCTGATATGTCTAAATGTCCTCTATGTTTACTTCTGATGTGTCTAAATGTCCTCTATGTTTACTTCTGATATGTCTAAATGTCCTATGTTTACTTCTGATGTGTCTAAATGTCCTCTATGTTTACTTCTGATGTGTCTAAATGTCCTCTATGTTTACTTCTGATATGTCTAAATGTCCTATGTTTACTTCTGATGTGTCTAAATGTCCTCTATGTTTACTTCTGATATGTCTAAATGTCCTATGTTTACTTCTGATGTGTCTAAATGTCCTCTATGTTTACTTCTGATATGTCTAAATGTCCTATGTTTACTTCTGATATGTCTAAATGTCCTATGTTTACTTCTGATGTCTAAATGTCCTCTGTTCTTGATGTCTAAATGTCCTCTATGTTTACTTCTGATATGTCTAAATGTAGGTATTCAAAATGAAATTTTTATAATGAAATTAAATAAAATTTAACACTTCCACCTGATAGAGACTGTTTTCATCAGAACAGAAACACCAAATTTATTGATGTATGTCCATTTTTAAAAAAGTTATGAATTTTTTAAAACTTAAAAAATGCGTTCGCTTTTTGAACAGTAAAGGGTCTATTTGAGACCCCTACTAACTTCTAAAATAACTAAGTTAGAACTCTCAAATTTCTTGCACACACAGCCAGTAATACAAATAGCAGACCCAATATTTTTCAAGGTAGTCAGACAGATATAAATGGAAAATTTATTCACATAAAAATGAGCCAAAGCACAATTTTACTAAAGTACGAAAAGGGAGACAAAAAGTCAATTTACAGTCATTTTTAAAAAATCATAGAAAATCAACTAATTAAGCCACATTAATAATATAAATGTTCTAAGAAAGGAAATTCAAACCATGTTAATATAAAATAAGCAGGTAAAGAATTAATAAAGAAAGTAATTAGCGAGACCAGATTCAGCAAGGTCAGTTTATAAAAATTAGAAATTTCATCCTTTTTCAAAAAATTATTTAAAAATATTTAAGTAAGGTATCTTAATAAATTTTACACCAACTTAAAGCACATGATGTTCTTAATATATAATAAACACAGAGACATAAAATAATCATTCTGCAAAGCAATACAAGGCATCCTTCCTTAACGCCCAAAATCAAGAATTTTCATTACCTAACATCTTGCAAAAAGTGTTCTTACTTTTAAGAAAGTAATATAAATTGTGTAGGAAACATGTTAGCATTACTTTGTTATAAAAAACTAAATAACTGTACTACTTCTTTACTTATATACTATAATAAGAAGAAATTCCATGCATTTTAAAAACTGACGAAGTAAGATAACTAATTAAACTGAAATTCTTTTTAAATTACCCTAATAGAGTTGTGATGTTTATCTAGTTTTGTTACTCTGGTTCCTAATCATGACTTGTTTAGCATAAATTTACTTGTTACTAGTATATTTATTTCTTCTAGTTAGTTATTGATCAAAGTCAACTTCTGGAAATGTCTAGGTCCTAACTTATACAATTATCAGAAATCTTAGAGCAGGTTCAAAAAGACAGGTCAATATCCTGATTGGGAAATTTCTTTATGAGGTTGGGTAGCATTGTAATTAATAGTCAATATCCTGGTTGAGTTTGTCCTCTTCAAGGTTACAGATCAAATTATGGAATCTAGTAAGGGATCCTTCCATTGGTCCAGAGTATAGAAAATGTCTGTGAATAAAAACAATTAATTAGCATTTCAAATATACTGACTTATATAACAGGCCTGTATATCTTTATACCAACTTAAATATCAATCATGTAACATTACATCATTATAAATAATAAGCAAAGTGCATACAATACTAACATTTGACATATGGTTTCCTTCAAAAGTATTCAGGAGTCCTGTTGTTGCTTTCACAACAATACAAAATTTTTGGTAGGCCAATGAGTTTCCCCTTTCTTTCATGCTAATATCTTACTCTGTAAATAGAATAATAATAATAATATTAAAAGTAAGGCTGCTCAATGCTTTTTAGATATTAAATGTAAGCACTATAGATAGTTATACTACTAGATCTAAATATTAACATGAAAGCAATAGTGAATCTAACTAATCTAAGTAGATCTAGACTAAATCAAGAAACAACTTTGGACTAAACTATTATGGAAGGGGGGCTACATTTTATTTTAAGTCGTCTTTACAATAAATCTAGAGATAAAAAATGTAAAAGATCGTAATATTCTAAAATTTAATGTAACTACTGCACATATATAGAATAGTTAACTATGAAACTAGGAAAGACAAAAAGAAAACAATGCTACAATAAATTGAAAGTATGCTGTTAACCGCTGCGGTAATATAATAGTTGAACCCAACACTACGAGAAAGTAAAAAAAAAACATGGCGGACAATCGGCTTGAAATATCGACAAAATATTGATAGTTTAATCGGCCGATGTTATTAACTAACATAATTTACTAAAACAAATTAAATTCTATCATCCTTTTAAACATCTTTTTGATTTAATTGCGCATTCCTTTTTTATTTCAGTGACCATAAATTAAATACAACTGACTTTTAAAAAAGGCTAGATAATTTTTTGGAAAAAAAATTTTTAAGCGTGGAGCAATTACCGATAAGCGGACACTAATATTCAAATGTATTAAAGCAGCAGTTAATCATAAATAAATAGAATATAGCTAGTAATATAATATGCATTCAACTTACCTGCACGTGTTTTTAAATCCACTGTAATCAACGAATAAACACAAAATCTTGCTCTGAACCGAGGTCGGGTGTTCCGGAATTCAACACAATCTTGACTCGAGCCGGCGAAATTTAGATGCGGGTCGTCGCGATTTGTATACATTGGTTTCATTTACTGCGGTCCGACCCCATACATGGAGTGTTCATTAAATCGTAACAGTTTTATGGCAAATTGGATGCCCTTTCGGAATATACAACTTTGGCGGCTGTAAAATTATTTTTTCATGGAAAAAAATCATTTTAAAATTTTAAATTGAACATTTTTAGCATTTAATTATATTATACAGCTGGCAAAGTTATACCATCTTACAGAGCTACCATTCTTCTTTCTAAATCAGTGGTTTCTAATTGCGTATGTATTATGGGGTCGGACCGCCGCGCGATGCCGCAACGCGACCAAAAATTTTTAAAACCGGCTTAAATTTTTCGGCTCATTTAGAATACCTACTAAATGTCCCCTATGTTTACTTCTGATATGTCTAAATGTCCTCTATGTTTACTTCTGATATGTCTAAATGTCCTTTATGTTTACTTCTGATGTCTAAATGTCCTCTGCTCTTGATGTCTAAATGTCCTCTATGTTTACTTCTGATGTGTCTAAATGTCCTCTATGTTTACTTCTGATGTCTAAATGTCCTCTGCTCTTGATGTCTAAATGTCCTCTATGTTTACTTCTGATGTGTCTAAATGTCCTCTAAGTTTACTTCTGATGTCTAAATGTCCTATGTTTACTTCTGATGTCTAAATGTCCTATGTTTACTTCTGATATGTCTAAATGTCCTCTGTTTACTTCTGATATGTCTAAATGTCCTCTATGTTTACTTCTGATGTGTCTAAATGTCCTCTATGTTTACTTCTGATATGTCTAAATGTCCTCTGTTTACTTCTGATATGTCTAAATGTCCTCTATGTTTACTTCTGATGTGTCTAAATGTCCTCTATGTTTACTTCTGATATGTCTAAATGTCCTCTGTTTACTTCTGATATGTCTAAATGTCCTCTATGTTTACTTCTGATGTCTAAATGTCCTATGTTTACTTCTGATATGTCTAAATGTCCCCTATGTTTACTTCTGATGTCTAAATGTCCTATGTTTACTTCTGATATGTCTAAATGTCCTCTGTTTACTTCTGATATGTCTAAATGTCCTCTATGTTTACTTCTGATGTCTAAATGTCCTCTGTTCTTGATGTCTAAATGTCCTCTATGTTTACTTCTGATGTGTCTAAATGACCTCTATGTTTACTTCTGATGTGTCTAAATGTCCTCTGTTTACTTCTGATATGTCTAAATGTCCTCTGTTTACTTCTGATATGTCTAAATGTCCTCTATGTTTACTTCTGATATGTCTAAATGTCCCCTATGTTTACTTCTGATATGTCTAAATGTCCTCTGTTTACTTCTGATATGTCTAAATGTCCTCTGTTTACTTCTGATATGTCTAAATGTCCTCTATGTTTACTTCTGATGTCTAAATGTCCTCTGTTCTTGATGTCTAAATGTCCTCTATGTTTACTTCTGATGTGTCTAAATGACCTCTATGTTTACTTCTGATGTCTAAATGTCCTCTGCTCTTGATGTCTAAATGTCCTCTATGTTTACTTCTGATGTGTCTAAATGTCCTCTATGTTTACTTCTGATATGTCTAAATGTCCTCTGTTTACTTCTGA